CCAAAGACAATAAAGACAACAAAGAGGTTGAGATTCGGCGACGAGGGGGGATGGCGCAAGGGTGAAGTGACCAAAGACAAAAAGGACAACAAAGATGTTGAAATTCGGCGAGGAATGGGGATGGGGCAAGGGTGAAGTGACGAGAGACAAAAAGGACAACAAAGAGGTTGAAATTCGGTGAGGAGGGTGGATGGGGCAAGGGTGAAGTGACCAAAGACAAAAAGGACAACAAACAGGTTGGAATTTGGCGACATGGGGGGATAGGGCAAGGGTGAAGTGACCAAAGAGAAAAAGGACAGCAAAGAGGTTGAAATTCGGCGACGAGGGGGGATAGGGGAAGAGTGAAGTGACCAAAGACAAAAAGGACAACAAAGCGGTTGGAATTCGGGGACAAGGGGGAATGGGGCAAGGGTGCAGTAACCAAAGACAAAAATGACAAGAAAGAGGTTGAAGTGAGGAAGTGCTTAGGAGTGTAGATGTATAACTATACTGAATATTATAAGGGTGGTTAACCATCTCTCGCCTGCCAGACCGAGAAGGTGGTGAAGTCATGAGGGCACTGCCCGGGACGAAGCTAAGTTTCTATGCACTGCCCGTAGGAAAGTTAAAAGTCCATATCGTAACCCACCACACAGACGCATTAGTGGACAGTGGTGCGGAAATTACCCTCATACGACGAGACTTTGCAATAGTTACGGGATGTACGGTAAATAAGGAAATGACGGGGATTATCCGAGGAGCCGGCGGGGAAATTTCCTTTGCAAGGTACGTCACGAAATGCGCAGTCAAGGCGGGGGGTCAGTGAATCGATCTGGTTTTTTCAGCGAATGACCGTGATGAAAGAAATGAACCATGACATAATTCTCAGGAGATCATGGTGCGCCAACGTAGAGATGATAGATATGCATCTGCATGATGACATGTACATGGTGGATATAGAGGACCCAATGACCGGCCGAGGAGAACTCCTCCGACTCCTTGGGACCGGACGGGACCCTCCGAAGGACAAATTGGCAACCTGGTCGCCAGCGTTCGAAGATAGTGTGTGAAAAGAGACATTCGCCCAGAGGGAAGGTATGAGGGAAAGAGTGGAGATCATGATTGAGGAGGCCTTTAGCAAAAAGGAGTGGATCAAGATGGGTCTGCCTCTAAAAAAAAGGAGGCAAGAAAACGAGGTCCTAGGGGTTATGGTGGCAGAAACAAAGTCGGAAGTCGAACTTGGGGCCATCTTGCCCAAGCCAAAGGAGGACCGGAAGGAAACGTCGGAGGTAGTGCTTGAAATCCCAGACTTGTTACAGCTCGTTAAGGCTATCAGATACCACAAAGTAGGGGTGGACTCGGCAGCGCTTGCCAAATTCGAAGATAAGGTCCGAAAGGACTACTGTCTGAATGGAAAGATAGTCAGTATTCATCCCCGCATCATGGAGGTATCAAAGTCGATCCCGACCGTTCATTTTTTAAGAGAACTATCCTAGAAGGGAGCGTTCGAAAGTACAAACCAGTAGGGAAGAAAGTCAAGCAGGTCTCGATCCTAGTGGAAACATCAAGGGAAGAGGCCATGGAAAAGGAGGAAGAAATCTTGCGGATAATAAGGGAGAGGCGAGCAGCGGAAGAGCATCGGATACCTGATGAGGTAGCAGCCACCATGAAAATAGGAGAAGATGGGTTCCTAACGATGGAAGAGACCCAACTGATAAGGAAAGTTCGCCAAGAATTCTACTTAGTCTTTGCCTTCAATGACCACCAGAAAGGCCGATTGGACGCAAAGCTAATCTCACCCGTTAGGATCTACACGGTGGAACACGTATGTTGGAACGACAAAGGGTCTGCTTACGAGTTCGGAATAGTGGCGGAAGTCACTGAACTTCTTAGAGCCAAGATAGATTCGTTCGTGGCCAAACCCACCGCATCCCCCTACGCGAACAAATGGTTCGTTTTTTGGAAACCCAACAAGACGCTCAGATGAATCCAGGACTTGCAGAAGCTGAATGCAGTAACAATCTGGAATGCGGGATCGCTTCCACAGGCCGGCCTATTGGCAGAATCCCACGTCGGTCGGAGCATTTATTTCTTGATAGACCTATATTCGGGATATGATCAACTGTCACTCGGCGCTAGGGACAGACCGTACACTGCTATGCACACCCCGGTAAGACAGTTGCAAATGCAAGTAACCCCTATGGGTTTTACGAACGCTGTGGCAGAGGCGCAGAGGAGGATGTTTACGGTCGCAGGGGACATGTTCCCGGAAAAATGCGAGCCATACATAAACGACAATCCCATAAAGGGCGCGCAAAACAAGGATGAGATAGAGATCCAACCGGGGATTCGAAAGTTCGTCTGGGATCAACTACAGGATATTAAGGACCTGCTCCAGCGATTCCTCGTGTATAATATCACCGCAAGCGGACCAAAGAGCATCCTGGCGGTCCCAGAAGTGACCATGGGGCCTATGGGAGGAAGCCCGACACGACCAAGACAGATAAGATCTCTCAATGGCCAACACCCTTGTGCACCACAACGGAAGTACGAGCCTTCCAAGGGGTGGTTGGATTTTGGAGGATCTTTATTAAAGGCCTTGCCAAAATAGCTGAGCCTATTCGCGCAATGATTAGGGAAGGAGGGACCATGGAGTGGATCGAGGATAGGGAAGCAGCAGTCCAGACCCTCAAGGACATCTTGACTTCCGATCAGGTCACTTTGGCAGCACCCTGCTTCAATGATGAGGTAGGACGACCCTTAATCCTGGAAACAGACGGAGGACCCTTGGCGGTAGGAGGAGTCCTGATACAAAGGAGCGAGGAGGGCAAGGAAAGACCTATCAGATTTGAGAGTAGGACCCTGAATTTGGCAGAGCGACGATACTCACAGTTCAAGAAAGAAGTCTTAGCCATTCTACATTGCCTTAAGACCTTTCAGGCATACCTATTCGGAAAACGATTTATCTTGAGAATCGATCCGACCAATGTCGTCGGGGCATTAAAGAACTACAAGGTTATAGACCCGACCGTTGGGAGATGGATAGGCTTTATTTGGCAATACGACTACAAGGTCGGGCGAATTGCGGGGCTCCGAAACAGGGCAGACGGGCTAAGTCGAGTTTGCATCACGCCGGAGGGAGTAGAGGATGTGGAGCCAATCGACGTTTTCCTGAAGTACGAAGGTGTGATCCTTGTCGTAGATAACGAGATGACGGGCGCCGCTTCTACAACAGGCCACCTGCTGATTCAGACCCTGGAAAAGGGTGCGCCCGCCGTAGTTGCGAAACTCAGGGAAGGGTCGGTCACCACAACTAGACGCAAAGATGAGAAGAATTCGTGAGGAGCAACGATCGGGCCGAAAGAGGAGCTGATGACAATGACCGTTGAAAGGGGTCGGGATGCTGTGATGAGTCTACTAGAAACTTGGACGCGAAGGGAGCTGCAGTATCTAGTGAATCAGGCTCATGAGGAGCAAGATACTAATCAGGAGGGACAATAATTCTTCCTTGTACAGATGTATGATTGCATCTTCAGGGAAATCGGTCTGTTGCTTATAGGAAACAAACAGCCTATGGAAGTCGGCCTCAAGGCAAGGGAGGAAGCCGAGGGGTATGTCTTAAGGAACGACCACCTGTTCAAGAGGGAAGAGGGAATGATGCCTAGGCGTGTCATGTGCGGAAGGTCTAGGCAGTTGGACATAATTCAGGCAATGCATGGTGGGCTAGTCGGGGGGCATCGGTCATCCAAAGGGACTCTTGCAAAAATCGTGCCACTTTACTTCTGGCCAGGCATGGCAGTTATGGTGGCTATGTACTATCAAACGTGTCTGATATGTCAGGAAAGGAGCTCCTCACGTATCTTCGAGCCCCTTAGACCTACTCGGGTACTGGGGCCGGGGCACCTGGTCCACCTTGACCTCGCGGTCATGCCTGTATCGACGGATGGGTACAGGTACATCTTGGATGCAAGAGATAACCTCAGTGGTTACGTAGAGGCAGTAGCTCTTAAGAGAACGACGGGAAAGGGAGTGGCCGACTAGATAGAGAACTTCTACCTAAGACACCCCTTTGTGCGTAGGTTCATAGCGGATAATGAGATGGAGTTCGTAAATCACGAAGTGCTAAGCAGGCCCAAGATGTTGTGCGTACCTATCAAGATCTTCGAACCATACCATCCGGAGGCCAACGCACCTGTAGAAATGGGGCACCGGACCTTGAAAAACACAATCGCTAAGTTAGCAACAGATGACCTCGGAAACTGGCCTCGGTACCTTAAGCAGGCGGCCTTCCTAGAGAACATGACGCCGAAGAGGAAGACAGGGTGCATTCCGGCAGAACTCTGGTATGGGAGGGAGATTGATTTCCCGGTGGAAGCTTTGGTTCCTACTTGAAATAGGCTAGATGACAAACCACACATGTCTACGGAGGAACTAATCGCTGCACGATGCCAACAGGTCGTTAAAAATGAGGAAACCTTTGAGGATGTGGTTAAGCGTGTGATGAATAGCCGAATGAGGGACAAAGCAAGGTGGGACCAAGTCAAGAACATCCGGAAGGAGCCACTCCAGGTGGGGGAAATGGTACTCGTTAGGAACTCAGCTCTTGAAAGCACGTGGTCCGAACAGCTGGGAAGAAGGTTCCAAGGCCCCTACAGGATCGCTAAGCGGGTGGGGCTGAACACTTTTGAACTTGAGGATCTTGACGGTACTGGGATAAAGGGTCATTTCCGGGGCAGAGACTGGTCAGGTTTTTGAGTCGGGATCTGGTGAAGCAATGGTTGCAAGAGGCCCAAGACAAGGAAACAGGGGAATCGACAACTTGAAAGGCATGCAGTTGGCCATAATTATGTACCGCTTCTCTCCGGAAGTGATCATGACCGTAGGGGTTGTTCGTTTTTGTGTCTTCTTTTCTTTCTGGGGCATGGGGTG